GCTGACATGACTGCAGGCATATTTTACATGTGAAAAAATGCACCAGTCATATCTCAAGCACATGGAATCGTGATTCATGATTATTCTTGCAACGCTGAGGCTTAGATTGTGCATCTAAGACCTTGCATGACGTCATAGAAGACGCCACTAAGGCTGTTTGGTGCAGTAGGAGCTTTTCGCTAATAACTTCCGATCAAATTGAGCTAGCGAGTCGGTTGAGCCATCACTTGACTCAGAAAGAACTGCCACATCGAATGATATGCAACATGACATCCTCCATGCAGCTTTGTGACCCGAGTGGCTTTGACCTGACCTTGACCTGAGGTCAACATCCTAAAAAGACCTAATCAAAACAGAAAGTGTATCATTCGACGCGCCTGGCCACGACGAGCACGATGGTGCCACAATCGTGGCTCTGCCACCATTTGTGGCGAAGTTATTCACCAAAAACCAAACCCCTACTTTATGACACTTGACCTGACCTCAGGGGTCACCGGTTGGTGTAAGACCTTGAACTCGGATACCAATCGCTGTGGTTCGCAAAGACGCACACGCTGGCTTTTTCCGCAAGGTTCTATTTAAATTAGGAGCGAAATGGCTAAGGAGGGGGTCTTATCTACCCCCTCTTTACCGTGTTCGCGAACAGTTCATGAACGTTCGCGAACTGTTCGTTGTTTGTTTACCAAAATTTGACCGATGACGTCACTTGTTCGCGAACACATTTGTTCGTGAACAGTTTGTTTATGTTTGTTTATTTGAAAAATTAAACAAACACCAAACCCTGAATTGATAAGTGTTATACGCCGGAAGTTCGTGGACGTCGTGCTTGCACGCACCCAATACTGCAAAATTCTCTTACGTCCCCCCTCAGGTTTTTCGCCCCCGCCATTTTTGGCACATATTACCAATGTCTTTTCTGCACATGTTGTGAAAAGTTTAGACCTGGGTCATTCAAAGTCAGGTCATCAGGTCAAGTCAAGTGACCCAACCTTTAGAAGTAGTTCCAATGCTCGCCATAGCTACTCCGACCGAACGATCGTTTTCAAGCTTTCAGCGATTGATAAGAGCACCAGTAGCCGTTTTCACGGCGGGACATCTGGCGAATGCACCTAATCTGACCAAATCTGCATCAAACCTCTTTTACAACAACTATGTCCATACTCCATATCATGAATTAATTTTAGTGTTTTAATCGACAAAATGTCTGATAATTTGAAAAAAGAGGTACTTAAGCATCTGTGAAACCCAAGCTGATAGCTTTGAAGCACAATGAACCTAATTTAGCGAAATATGCACCTAATCAGCACCTAATCTGCACCGAATGTGTACCAGATGGTCGTCATGAAGACGGCTAATACGCATAAAAAGTATGTATCGGAACTGACTGACACTGACTCGGAAAATTGCCACCCATGACCCCTCGTTATATACCTGAGATCATATCTCAAGTCATGGAAGGTCTCCAGCAGTTTTTTTTATACAAAAACTTTTGATACAGACATGCCAGATCGATGAAAACACCTTGGATGAGTTTAGCTCGATACGGATCGACTGATATGCAACAGCATGACCTTTTCCGGTCAGACAATGACCTTGACCATAGGTGAAATTTTCAAAATGACCATGGGCGCGGGAACCGGGGGGGGGCAGTTGGGGCAGCTTGCCCCCCCCCCCCCTTAACTCTGGGGCCGTGGGAGTAGTGCCCCCACAACTTTGAGACGAAATACCACACTTTTTTGCAAATGTTTTCTTTTTTGTTGAAAAAGCCAAGGGATGAAAATAAGAGGACTAAACCGGTGAGAAAACTAGATTTGGGGGTACCCTAGGCTGATCTCTACAGCCGTTTTCACGACGGGCTATCCGGCGAGTGCACCTAATTTGACCAAATCTGCACCTAATCTCTTTTACAGCAAATATCTTTATTTTATGAATTTATTTCAGTGTTTTAATCGACGATACTCTCTGATAATATGACAAAGCAGGCATATAAGCAATTAGTGCAACCCTAAATGATAGCTACTAAGAGACACACTGAACCTAATTTGACCAAATCTGCACCTGATCTGCACCAAATGTGCACCAAATGTGTACCAGATGGCCGTCGTGAAAACAGCTATTATGGTGTGCCCCCTCAGTCTGAAAGTAGTTCCCGCGTCACTGAAAATGACCTTTTAGGGTGAAATTAAAGTTCATTCAACGCGTCTCGACGAGAACAACACGATGCCGGAATATATATTACTGAACGGCTCTGGGAAAGAAAAATGGAAACCGAGGTCTTTAAAAAATTGTAGGCACGAGGCGTAGCCGAGTGCCGGAGATTTTTTGAAGACCGAGGTTTCCATTTTTCTTCCCAGAGCAAGTTCAGTAAGATATTTCCCATACGTCGTTTAATATCTATTCAGAAACTCACAATTTAATTATTGAAATCACCTTTTTTAAGAGTTTTATCAAAAAATCACCAGAACTGTAGGTCATCAACCCGTGCCGGAAAACAGTGCAGGAAAGATCACGTGCAAATGTTTCCCGCACGGCTAGGATAATGCTAAAGGGATATCTCGGCGTATGGGAAAAAATCAATGCCGTGGTTGTTATGCGTAATGTTATACCATACGCGCCCTGCAGGGGTGGAGGAGGTTTTTCCCCTGCCTTTCTTCCGAACGGATGGTCGTTGAAAGACGGGGAAAATGGCGATCGAAAGCTGTCAGCAAGACGTAAAGGTAATGGATAATAGAAAGGATTTTTCACTCCTCTGGGTAAAAATATCAGGATATCTCTTCCCGGTAGTAAGTACACTGGAAACCAAGCGACAAAGAGGCGGGGTTCTCCTGGAACACCTGTAGAAAAGATACCCGATCTTCTGCAAGTGAGACACGAAGTTTCTTTCTAGTTAGAGGCTTTGCATTATGTATAGCATTTAAGATTTATTTCATTTAGGATTTAAGTATTTTATATCATTTAACCTTCCAGGCGGTGGGGGGGCATTTTTTGCCCCCCCCCTTTTAGTTTTTTCGATATATCTCCAGAACCGCTGCGCTGATCGTCACCAAACTTGCGGTACCCTCCCGTGAACAGCTATTGCACATTGTGACCAAAAATTTTCCAAGGGCTATGATAGGTTGGCCGCTAATGACGTCAGAGTGATGTCATTTCTGCCATTTTCGACCCAAAAAAAGGTTTCGCGGGAAGAGCTGTCAGGCTTACAGCTTTAAAGATGCAGAAAAATGTTTTGACATAAAAGGTGTAGAATTAAAAGGGCTACAAAACTGCTATCTCGGATTTCTCGGATTTTTGAAATTTTTGAATTTTAACCCCCAAAAATCCAAAAATATATTTTTTGAATATAATAGCCAAAAAATCCAAAAAGTTTTTTGAATTTCAAAAAAACGGAATATATGTGATAGTCCCTACCGCCTTCTATCTACATACCAAATTTGAGATCGATACTTTTTTTTGGCCAAGTTATAGCGAACAAACTGTTCAAAATTGATGACGTCAAATTTTCAAACTTAATTTTTTAGCAATTCTAGACCTCGTAGCGCAAAACCAAGACCACCATTAGACTCCCCGTGACGAGCTGCAACGAATCAATACGCATTTTATGCAAAACTATCAACTTTGAAATTTGACCTTTTTTACCTGACCTTGACCTGACCTCGACCAAAAAGTGACCTAAACTGTACCTGATGGTCTCATAACCAACACCATTGAGTTGGAAATGAAAAATTGGCCATAAAACATGCATCGCACAACCTTAGTAAAGTTGGGTTCATGTGGTGACCCTTGCATTGGTGACCCTTGGTGACCTGACCTGTGACCTGACCTGGTATGACCAGTGACCTCTAATAGTAACATATGTACTAGACAACTGACGCCCTATCGCTGATTTTCGACAAAATGCGTTTTCCTCGGTGTTATAGCGCTTTCCCTATAAGACCCGTGAACGGTGAAACATTTTATCTTTGACCTGACCTGTGACGTCATCAGTGACCCCGAGGTCAATGAAATTTGGTTTCCTTTCGACAAATTGGACAAGGCTATCGAGCGCCGTTTGAATTTTCCGGATCCGTCCAGTAGTTTCGGAGATACGGGGGGGGGGGGGCAAAAAAAATGCCCCCCCCCCCCCACCGCGCGGAAGGTGGCCGGGAGGCCCACCCCCTGCCGGGTTAAGCATTTGATCAAAATATCTTTATTCATACACAGGAACAGAGAACAAAGTGACTGCGTTCAATTTGTTAGTTCATCATAAACAACCATCAAATCCATTGGCTATAGGCGCTTCGTCGCTTGGCCATTTGTTATTTAGCTAACCCTCGATACTTTATCTTTTCATCTCAGTGGGATACTAAGGTATCACATTCTCATCCCTACACCTTACTAGAGGAGTGCGATATAAAGATATATCTGCGTTGTAGACCGTGGCAAATAAACATCTAACTAGAAAAGTAGATGGATATCCCGCCTTATTTACAATCGTCCATGTATCCATTCTCATGCCAGATGCTTTTATGTAGATCCAATCCGTATAACAGTTTCAAGTTTCAACCGAACTGCCCCGAGCGGCGTTGTCAGTGTCGGTCACCACCACAGGGTAACGGCGAGCCGTAGTCACCCTGATCTCTGTACTCGAGGGTGGCAGCGACCCAGCTGGGTCACGGAACGCCACGCTCCGGCCGGTCACGACTACGAGACGCCACGGCTCGACCGCGCGGCCTCTCCGCGGTCACTCATGTCGTACAAATGCGTCCGATATGAGTGACCGACCCTCGCAGGGGCAGAACAGGAGGGCGACCGGCTGTGGTGCAGAGACTCGTGTTCCACGTGATGGTAGAGATGTGTCGACAGTGGATGCATGCTATTTTGTAACTGAGTGAGCATGAAAGGTATTAGAGCTTTCTTCAGCAAAGCTTTGGCGTGCTGCAAAAAGTCTGATTACCTGCATCTCTTTTCAAAATTACATTCAAAACAAGTATGATAATGTCAATACCACTCCATGCCGATGAAATAATCGAGGTGTAAACAGTCACATTGATACAATGATATATAAAGAACACACAAATGTGGCAAGGGAATTTTTGATTTACCGCTAATGGAAAGCGTACAGACGCTTATAAGTTATGATCGTGAACATTCAGTTTAGTATGCATAGATAATTCATCACATACTTTTATTTTTGATCGGCAACAGGCATTCGGTTATGGAACCAATATAGCAGTTCAGAGGTGTTCTTCGATGCCTCCGATATGTTCGCGAGTGTGGCTGAAGTCGGGCAAGTGGTCACCCTCCGGGTGGAAGCCATTCTCGTCGGCCGTCCAGGTGACCGTGTAGGTGACGCCCTCCCATTCGTACGAGTACGAGCCGCTCCTCACGTAGTTGCCAGACTCGGGGATGTTGCCGGGGTAGGAGATGCCGTCCTCCTGGGCCTTGATGCCGTTGGTTGTCTCGTAGCTGAAATTAGATCATTTTGTTAATGCATCAGCCATTACAGTTGTGAACATTTACGACGATTCATGTGTGATGTATGTAGTAATACGGGCATCATGTTATATTCATTTATATGAACCATAAACATTTTTTTCTCAATAATTTCAGATGACCGTTGGACTTACTTGGACTGGTATGAGCCGTCCTCCTCGATGCCATACTGATGGTTGGCAATTCTCGCTGACTTGTCGGCCGCGGTCACAGCCACCACACAGAAGAGCAGAACCTAGAAAGGAGAGTCGCTTGAATTTGATGGTGTATTGTGATTTTTGTTGTATGTGAGTTTTGATAAGTTTTACTTCAAATATTCCTTTTACAAGATAGCTTATCCGTAAAACTTTTTTTGAATTAAGTGCCACCGTTTGTTGCAATAAGGAATTGCTCGCATTAGTTTCATAATCGTTAACAATTAAGTCATTCTGCTACATTCTCACGTGATAAATGTGAGAGGGATGAAAAGAGATATTAGAGAGAGAGAGGGGGGAGAGAGAGAGAGAGAGAAAGAGAGAGAGAGAGAGAAAGAGAGAGAGAGAGAGGGAGAGAGAGAGAGAGAGATGATGAGAGAGTGAGATATGGGAGCAGGGAGCTATAGAGGAGGCAGACATCGAGTAAAGCAGAGCGGTGGAGTAGATATAAAATAAGAAGGATCCTCTCCGAAATAGGTGGCTCACTGATCACTTTTCACCCTGTTCCACTCACGGCCTTCATTCTGGGTTTTAGCTGATCCACTGACGTAGAACACATGTCGGTCACCAGCTTTTATAGCAGAGAAACTGGCAGACCTGCTACATAAGGCAACCCTTCGCGACGTGATCAGTACTTGAATTATTGCACAGGTTTGCAGCTTAGAATAGATGGAGATTTATAACAGTAAATCCGCGCTCAGATTTGCTTATGTCCAGATATCGATCTGCCTTATCATCCGCGGCGGCTCTGGTGCAGAACTCGCCAGGGAGGGAGTGCGGGAATGGTGCAGGTCTCGTCAGGGAGGAACACCAGTCCGTAACCTAGTCAGTGCACGCGCTGAGAGACTTTGTAAAATGCTACAAAGCACAGGGCAATACACGGACACCGACCTGATCTTGTGAATAGTTTGGTAAAACCGTCAAAGGTTTTGCTTGATTTCAATTTCGATATTATCGATAGAGACACGCGTTAGGCGGTGTTCGAAAGAACGTCAAAAATAATGACGAAATTGCTTCGTCATGTTTGTTAGGTCACATGTGATCAAGTCTTCGGGGCCATCAATGGTCCAATTTCGCCTACTTCTCGGGTTAGGCCGCAAGTTTGGGTTGCATTATGTAGATGCATACATGCTTTATTTAGCAAATTATCATACTTTTTTATTAACCCTCGCCCGACCCAGGGGGAGGCTAATGCAACCCCTAAGGGTCTTAAAAATAGCGGCGGGTAGCGCCGCCATATTTGGCATGCCCTCCAGGGAAACCTTTCGGCGTCGTTCCTGAAAATTTCAGGTCTCAATCATTTCAGGTCACCAGGTCACAAAAACCGGTCAAAGTCGGGATAAAATAAATTCGTTTAGCAGCAACAGAATAACGTTCTTCGTTAATAGTGTAAGCACTGTGGCACTTCGCGCCACCAAATTTCGGACACAACTTGGGGTATTCATTTGACACGTGTGCTGAGAGTTTTGAGTCTCAGTGACCTCAGGTCAGGTCACCAGGTCACAAAACTGGTACACTATCAAATTGAAATTGAAATTACAATATTCTTCGTGAAATCTAGAGCTTTGATTCGATTTCTAGGTCATCTAGAGGTCATGATAATTTATAAGGAAATTTGTCCGAATGGCTGCTATTATCCAATAAAAAAATATGAGAGATATATGCTCCATTTCAAGTTTTTGGCGTTACACTGCCTCAGTTAATATGCATACGTGACTAACTTGGTGTTTGTATGCTGCAAGAATGCTAGGGTCGGGTCAGCTGAGGCCAAATGGGGTCAAACTACGTTTTTGCTAATAATTTGGCTGATAAATAGGCAAGCGCTCCAAAACTGGTGTCACTGTGCTCCTCGTGATCAGCCGAGTCTAATGATATGCAATATAGTGCATTTTGATGAAGTTTTGAACTTAAGAGCTAAATTAATTGATTCACGCGCAGTGGAAGAGGGCGAATATCGCCAACCCCTCCTGTTTTTTTTTTTTTTTTTTTGCAAATAACTCACGCCGTAATCATCAGAGTAACGTCAAATTTTCAGCACCACCTTAGAATTGAATTGTGCATCTTTCTTTGGAAGTAAGAGGTAAATCAGCCGCAACTTTTCTATTACCAGGGGTTTAAAGTCAAACATTTCGCAGGACCGGCGCTGCGGCGGCGCGGCGACCGGCGCCGGCCGTTATTCGCCGCCTGATTGGTAGACTGTGCCGGCGCAGGGCGGTTCTGTTTTTGCATTGCGCTGCTTACCGCTGATAATGATCGATTCGCGTCAAATATTCTGAGAGAATTATTCAGAACGAACGTTAAAAGGGCTATCTGTTGCGTTTTTCCGCGGAGCTGTAGCTCTAACCTTTCCTGAGAAATGTGCTAGTTTGTCGAAAATTATCCAAGTTTGACGTGGAAAGTGGCGAAATTTGACATTTGGTGACTTGACCTTTGGCTTGACCTGAAAAGTGGCGTGGAACTCCAAGACCCCCAGTGCGGCGGTTCACGGGTTCATTTAATTTTAAGTGAAATTTTAAGTTTAGTATATCGTTGAGAGCTGCTGCGAGGAGCATGATAAATGTAGGAAGTATCATTAGAATATATGACCTTCTCCTCGGAAAATGACCAAATGAATGAAAATGATTATTTATTGATGAATTGATGATATTTCGGTCACAGACCTTCGTCTAAATCGAATTCGTTAAATCGTACAAGGCAAAAGTAGCGAGTGAAATGCGCAACAATTGTCGACTGCCTGTAGAAAGTGAAAAATTCAAAATTCGTTTGTCTCGTGGTCGTCATGCAGGGCTAACATCACATTTCGAGGTTCGCATCGCTTTCGATCGTATAAACGTATCGATATCAAATCGTACAACAATATCGAACAACAAAACATCAACAAAACATCTGATCATCCACCCTAAAGATATCATGCACTTAAAAAGCAAAAATATAGCTACGCCCTAAAAGGTACACATGAGCAGAAGTTCGGTACAAGTTCGGCACCGTAGAGACCCGTGGTGCAAAAACAACGCTGGAAACAGAACTTTTCATCAAGCCAACAAATTCTGGTATCATTCTGCACTCCTCATCGGCACATCCTCAAAGTACTAAGCATAACATTATTCGAAACATGTTTCATAGGGCATTTAACAACTCTTCCAGCAAGGAAAAAGAAATCAGAAGCGTCAACAAGATCTGGCAATTACTTTTAGAGAACGGATATCCTCCGAAACTGTTAAGGAGACTTCTCAGAGAGGTAGAACGGTCAAGGTCAAGAAGGGGTAGAGAGCCACGGAACAAGAGCGGAGGGGGAAACAAGAAAGGGACGGACGAGATAGACGGGTTTTTAACGTTGCCGTTCATTGACGAGCAACTATCACGGAAAATCAAATCTATCGTGAGAAAGTCAAACCTACGCGTACATATAGCATGGAAAAACGAAAACAAACTAAAGAACGCCCTAACAAGATCAGCCATATGCAAACCCAAATGTCCAGGGGGCCAGAGATGTCACTTGTGCATGTCTGACTTCAAAGGAGATTGCACACAAAAGAATGTTGTTTACAAAATTCAATGTAGCATATGCAAAAGCGAGGGAAAAGATGCCACTTACGTGGGGGAGTCCATGCGTCCAGTCCGTCTACGATATAATGAACACCGACGTGACGCTATCAATAGAACCCCCAACACTCCATTCGGTGACCACTTTCTGAAGGAGCACGTTTCACTGACTGTTACGGGTTCAGATGTCTTACATCTTAGAATACTTTACAGAGCCCAGGATCATCCAGACAGGAAAATTGCTGAAAGCATACTCATTAGGAGCGAGACACCGACATTGAATATTCAGGGATCGTCATGGCCTATCATGCGAGTAGTGTGACTTTTTTGTCTTTTGTATTTTTGTATTTTTAGATTTGATGTGTATGTTATATATATTTTACTGGTTTTTGATATTTCACCATGTATGTGTAGTGTGTACCTCATTATATGTATGTACGTTGTACAGTGTACCTATATATGACGCACACCTTTTGCTCGGCGACGGCCGCGCCCCCCCCCCCCCCCGCCAGCCGCCTGACCTATCCATCACGAGGCCCGCTGTGGGTCTAGGCGCTGCACCGTCTTGCCGGCGCTTCGCCCTCTTGCCAGCAAGCATGTATTTAGATGAATATGTTGTTGCCAATCTGTTTGTACCGAACTTCTGCTCATGTGTACCTTTTAGGGCGTAGCTATATTTTTGCTTTTTAAGTGCATGATATCTTTAGGGTGGATGATCAGATGTTTTGTTGATGTTTTGTTGTTCGATATTGTTGTACGATTTGATATCGATACGTTTATACGATCGAAAGCGATGCGAACCTCGAAATGTGATGTTAGCCCTGCATGACGACCACGAGACAAACGAATTTTGAATTTTTCACTTTCTACAGGCAGTCGACAATTGTTGCGCATTTCACTCGCTACTTTTGCCTTGTACGATTTAACGAATTCGATTTAGACGAAGGTCTGTGACCGAAATATCATCAATTCATCAATAAATAATCATTTTCATTCATTTGGTCATTTTCCGAGGAGAAGGTCATATATTCTAATGATACTTCCTAAATTTTAAGTTTACTTTAAATCGTAAAAAGGTATAGGCACCATTCGATGAGCATTGCCGTGTTGAGTTCACTGGTGTTTTTTTTTATATTTGTTCTGTCTTTGCTAGATCAAAAGTTATTAGCGAAAAATTTGGACATATTTTAGCAAACTTTTTACATTAATACCACCCAAAACCCTCCTAAGTAATGATTTAGAGTCACCAAATTTGCACTGCGTTGAGTTTTCCCATGGGCCCACCTACCCTGCAAATTGGGTATTTCCAAGTGTCATAGGAGCCAATCGCCAGGGGGTCGTACCCCCTAGCCCTTTGGCCGTCTGCGTTATGAAAAAGGCCCTGGCTGGGCGAGGGTTAAAGCATTGAGATAATTTCATGATATGCAGATATTTGCTATAAGAAGAGATTTGGTTAGATTTGTTCCAGTTCGATGCATTGGCCAGAGGCCAGTTTTACCAACAGAAAAATAGCAGCCTGCCGGATTTTTTTTTCTCCTAAAGACCGCTTCACATGCGCGGTAAAGCCCCATCCGCTCATGTGCCCATCGCGTTTACGCTCCGTATAGGAAACGGTCTTTAGGCAAAAAATTCCGGCAGGCGGCTATTTTTCTGTTGGTAAAACTGGCCTTTGATGCCCCGTCGTGAAAACGGCTAATAAGGACGTGACTGAGTCCGCAAATAGCCTCTACCGACTACCACCTATCAAAGTGAAGGACCATGGCCTCGAGGCAGTCTTGCATTTTCTCGGTTACATGAACCATTCGTTCGTTTGTAAAGACCTGAAGGATATTTAATAATACATTTTGTCAAGTAATCACGACAGTCCTTCAATTTATTCCATTAAATACGTAAAAGTAGCGATGTCCTTGATCACAACAGTCATGTTAACACTGACCTTGGACTAAGAGACAGACATTACATAATGGATGATATTGGACTACTTTAGATGTGTTCCGCCATTTTTAGCCATTCACCTTTCATGTTGTTGTGTCTCTTGCCTTCTCATTAGAAACATGAAGCTAGAGATATGTACAAAATTGCTGGTTTGTGCGTTTGATCAACGTTTAGCTTTTGGTCAAAATGATTGATTTTTGTTTAGTGCTCCTCTTGCATGCGTAGCTTACTTACGAAGCTGGTTGGTCAGGGGTAAAGAACGGCCAGATTATAGTGAATAGTTTTGTAAACGGGAACTGACAAATGGCTGCTCACTTTTAGGAGTCGTATCGGTGACCCAACGACGGATTTTAAACATGAGCGTGATTGGTCAATTATTCCAAAGATAAAGGACCTTATGGCTAATGTCCATGTATGCAACATGCTATCTGAGATTGTGGAACCACAATGCTGATCCATGTGACTGCTGACTATTCATATGAACGATGAACAATAGCATACCGAATTTCAACATACTTGGCTAACCATGCCGAGGAGACTATGTGCAGAATAATTCCACAATCTGGCTTAGGATAGACGTGGATTTACGAAATAGCGAGCTTAGTGAGCATGACCCTTACGAGCTTGTCTCATGAATCCCAATGATACACAATGTCTTTTGTTGGATTTATGTGTTGGACAATGTCGTACACGAACAAAACACGATAGGCTCCCACATATTCATACGCAAGGACAAACATTTAAAACGAACGTAACATCAATGACTGAGACGACGATGCTAATTGATAGTTGAGTTCACAGCTCGTTCACCGCAATGAAACACTTATTTGAACTACTGGTGGTCGTCAATGCTGCCAATGTGCTCCCGGGTGTGACTGAAGTCGGGTAGATGGTCCCCGACAGGGTGGAAGCCGTTCTCGTCGGCCGTCCAGTTCACAGTGTAGGTGACGCCCTCCCATTCGTACGAGTAGGAGCCGCTCCTCACGTAGTTGCCGGCCTCGGGGACGTTGCCGGGGTAGGAGATGCCGTCCTCCTTGGCACTGATGCCGTTGGTTGTCTGGTATCTGAAGGTAAATACAAGTTGTTAGGTTTAGATTATATCACGTCTAGGCTTTATGCCGCGAGTCATGTGTATTGATTGGGAACAAGCAAATACCCAAAAACCTATTAACAACTGTTTCCTTGTGTTGAGATACAAATCAATGAACGGCTTCTTTTATTTTATGTGAAACTGTATGACCGATGGCATTGGTGTGACTGTTGAACACATTGTCCAACAGGTGTGAAATGTCTGCAATAATGTAACCAGTTACTTACTGGGCCTCGTAGGCGCCATCCTCCTCAATGCCGTACTGGTAGTTGACGATTCGGGCACTCTGGTCGGCCGTGGCCAGAGCCACCAGGCAGAGGAGGACGAACTGGAAACAGGCACAAAGTCGCTCAGGCTACCGGCGGACAATTATGTACAGAAACTCACAAAGACTCGTAGAATGTAACTCATGGACATCTCGTCGTTTTAGGGTAGCTCAACCAATTGAGGAGATGACTTCACTTCACGTGTCTCGAAAATTCAAATAGGCAATCAGGTAGGGGTTGATAGAATTTATTTTAAATAGCACAGGCAGCGTTCTGAGATCGCGCCAGCAGCGTCGCTGGCCACTCTGTAATGGGACGCCGGCACGCTGTCTCGATAATACCGCACACTCCTCGCACATTTTGCACACCCAGACACTCGCTGCTCCGCTTTACTCACGGTCTTCATTGTGGGATGTGAAGTGATCAACTGATGTCGGTGACCGACACCCGCCGGTTTTTATACCGGCATGAGCACCAAATGCCTTATTAGGTGACGCACATAATCCAGTCTCGGATGGTTTAAAGGGCAGGTCTACTGACTTCGACATCATTCAACTATGCAATAATTAATCTGATACTAGGCCGAGACCTATGCGATGGAGATATGCTGCATGGTGCAATTTTCACGTTTGCGCAAAGTGTTGTACTTGCCAAGTGGCTTGGCGTCCAATCATATCCAAAAGGTCAACAGACCATCGCTAATATCAAGTGATGGATGAGTCGACTGATATGTCGACATGCATGTATCATTGTATCAGCTCACAGCCGGCTGTCCGGCGACGCCCGAAACAGGATGTTCACCTGAGCTGGTGTGACGTCACTATCCCGCCAGAGTGCAGAGTGCGTGCAGATGAGTCAGATGTGCGTGTGTGATCTCGGTGTGTGCACTTGTGCGCATAGCTGGCGGATACGAGCTCGTAATCTGCTCTTCAGGTGGTCTCTCAGACTTTCTCTCACCTCTCTACACATCTCTTTATCTCCTGTTTTCTCTTATTCTCTCTCTCTGTCTCTCTCTCTCTCTTTTTCCCCCTCTCTCTCTCATTTTTTATATTTCCCTCTCCCTCACTCTACCTTTCTGCCACTTTCCTTTGTTTTTCGTCATATGGGCTAAAAATCACGATGTTCGCTGTATGTATACACTACACTCGTTACCTATGTCCTCTTATGAAATTTTGTGAATGAAGTCATGATAACGAAAAAACTTTTTAGTTTCATGAACGAATTATATAGCAAAGGTTTCGTGGACATTTTCGTAGCCCAGATCAACAGTAAGATGTGTTTCTACCTTTGTTTGACCCAATATTTTTTATTTGCATTGTTGTCTCAGATTACGATCGCATATCGCGTAACATTGTTATCGTGACAAACCATCTAAATGGTTCAAGGTCTGTATTGCATCATCATACTCTTACTCATTTCCTTCAAGTCGTTTAACATGTACCACATCCCGGAGAAGACTGCTAGATACTCGCGACCTGCATGAAAAGACAAACCGACCGCTGCAATCAGAGCGGGCAGGTCATGAATAAAACAGGGCCACCCTCCCGACTTTGTCATCGATTATTCCCCTTGCATGGCGCTAAACTATGGTATTTCTTTCTCGGGCAGATGCGAATCACGATATGGGGGGGGGGGGGGGAGGGGGCAGATGTCCACGGCCATCCGTCGATTGACAGCCGATAGATGCGACCTAATGTGACGTGCATACGACACGAAGCACGTGTATAAAAGAAGCTGAGCGCGCTCCAGAACCGTCAGTGGGTCAGCACAATCGACCGGATGAAGCTCGTGAGTAGCCGACAGACGTGGACGAGGACAGCGTGGGCCATTGCTGGGATCTCCTTTCGCTGAATGACACTAACTTGATTTATGTGAAGTGGAAAGAAGTACTACTAAGTGGCAAACTAATGTTCGTAGTTTTGGAAAATTCCGTAATGCAGAAGCAGATGATAAACGTGAAATATGTTCTTCTTACTTTCGGAGACTCTTCCATACTCATTGGACATGTGTATCGATGTGGCATACAGCTATGGAAAAGGATTTGGGCATTTTGTGCGAAATTTTATTCATGTTTTGTGGATGGCATCGATAACTTCGTCTTACGTCTCGGGCAGATTTTGTGTCTGTTCCTGGTGGCTTTGGCCACTGGCCTTCCTGAAAAGAACGCCCGGATCGTCAACTACCAGTACGGCATTGAAGAGGACGGCGCCTACACAGCCGAGTGAGTGTGACACAACAGAGGACCACGTAGCCGGGAAGTGGATTCATTGAACAGGCGAATATAAGACGATCAAAAGATGAGTATTAATTGCGAACTAGCTGTGCCGGTCTAGTAAAGAGTTAAATAGACCAGTGGAACTCATCAAGTTATTCTGTCAAGTAATGTAGGTATATTGCACAGCAATGGCAAAACTTGCATCATTAGTGGTATGTGGGATGGATAACAATGAGAAGGCAAGCGATAGATGACTGGTTTCGGTAATCACTGCGTTGATCTCCTTGCAGGTACGAGACCAGCAATGGCATCAGAGCCCAGGAGGACGGCATCTCCTACCCCGGAAACGATCCCGAGTCTGGCAACTACGTGAGGAGCGGCTCGTACTCGTACGAATGGGAGGGCGTCACCTACACGGTCACCTGGACGGCCGACGAGAACGGCTTCCACCCGGAGGGTGACCACCTGCCTGACTTCAGTCATGTCTCGGAGCATATCGGAAACATAGACGATGCTAAATGAACAGAGATCCGCGGTGCGGTCTTGATATTCCCGTGATAAGTTTGTGTCCCTCTCAGTCATTGCGCTGTGGTAGGTATATTATCATTAAACAATATTTTATATAACATGTCACCTCATTGGTAAATACTCATACGCGCTTTTCACTTTGATCTATGTCGCCGTAAAGGGGAAACAAATGGTGCTTAAAGACGTAATTAAGAGAAACCAGTGATTTTTAAAAGAATGTGTGCTTTCATCAGCTACTCTTCTACATTTTGTGTTTGTGAAATGTGCAACGTCCGTCCGTTGTCTTTATGTTTGCTTGAAGCTCCTTTTTGTCCCTATACATGTCCTTGTGCAGCCTACGAAACTTCTGTGGCATCCCAACCCCCAGGATAGTATATGCAATGTCCATTTTGTATTTTCCTCTCATGTGGAATCGTGTCCCCTAGCTGTCAATACAAATAACTAAGCTTCAATCTTTTCTCTTAAAAATCGTAGAATTAGAAAATTGCGTCATCACAGCAGTGTGCAAGGAATCAGTTCGGAACTCGGGAGGGTCCGAGTTCGATTCCCGATGCCGCCCGTCCTTCGGGCTGAGGTCCCCTGCTGCGCCTCTTGGAGTGGGGTAGGCTCTCGCGATTGTCCCATATTTAACAAGTAAAGGAACTCTCTTGTATTTGAACTTCTTGCATGTTCATGACGAATTCACGGTGATGCAAGTAAACATGGTTCACGTTGTCCTAAGGTGACCTTGAGATACATGCAACGGTTCCTGGACGATTTGCATTTAAATGATCATGTTAATTGTTAGTACCCTTGCACGGCCATAAAGCTAGATAGTCAATGTCTGAATGTCTTCCCCCGCGCGTCTATATAAGTCAGTTCCACCTCGCATCATTCAGAGTACCAGGGAACCATCGAACTGCCAGCACCTCCTGATGAAGACTGTGAGTATGCAGGAGATTAATTGATGGGGAAAGCTCACACAGATAGTGTGCAATGTGCATGCATTAATACGAATTAAGATTTGTAGCGTAGCTATTTTATAAAACGCAGATGTTTACGATATATTGGCGACACCGTCTTGTTTTTTCACAGGGGGAAATTTAACCGTGCTAACCGCGAGCACTTACAGTTATCTCCATTCTCCATGTCAGTTCGTAATCATTCTAATTTCTAACCATCGTTTGTTAGTAAATGCTGATGCTCTCCACTAGGAACCATGGTATAACTTAAAAACTCATGATAAAATAATGACACTTATGGTAAACTAATGACTCATTTGAATCGTGGAAATAATGTAGTGAATTAATGGTATTTTGTCTGGATAATTTTCAGATTCTACTCCTCATTGTTGTGGCCTTTGCCGCTGGAAGACCGAACAAAGATGCACGAATCGCTAACTTTGTCTTCGGCATAGGAGAAGACGGAGGCTATTCAGCAAAGTGAGTTCTTGAATAATTTAACACTTCCTAAAAAAAATTTTAGAAAAAAAGGCATGAAAAGATTAAAAGAATCCCTTAGCCAGGAAGGTCTAAACCATCTTATTATTCTTTTTTCGAATCTACGTATACTTTCTTCTCTAGTTACGGCATTTATTTTCTATATTTTACATTTTCAGGTTAAGGCTGTAATACACATTCAAATAAATAACGTATTTTGCATAAATGCTTGTCGTATCTTTCATTCCCCTATCAGTTGCATTTTCATATGATGGATGGCTTCTTTTGCTGACGAAATAGAAATTGCCCTATGCATTTGACGGCAGTGACCTGTTTTCGAGAACTCCTAAAGTATTTACGTCGCATGTGCTGCTAGGATTTCCAATGTAAGGTATACTTTGAACGGATCCTGACCCCGCAGCTATAAGACTACGAACGGAATTACATCAGAAGAAGAAGGAATCTCCTACCCTGGCAACTTACCAGAATCTGGCAACTACGTGAGGAGCGGCTCGTACTCGTACGAATGGGAGGGCGTCACCTACACGGTCACCTGGACGGCCGACGAGAACGGCTTCCACCCGGAGGGTGACCACCTGCCCGACTTCAGCCACACCGAGGAGCATATCGGGGCGATTGAAGATGAAACTACATTCGTGTGATTGTAACGCCTAGCCGAGCTGATACTTAGCGACAAGGGAAGCTGCAAGTGACAATTAGTCATCTTCAATGGAAATGGTTTGAGCTTTATGCATCTTAGTCTAATTTGTCGTCCGTGTCTACTTAAATGATAACACGTTGTAGTGAATGGAAAAATAAATGGCTTCTCTTCGTTGCACCTGTTTCACCATTAAAGTGAACAGCGGATAGGTGGTTTAGTTGCTGTTGTGACGATGAGTTGTTCTTACACGGGTGATCCAAAGAGCTCCACTCATAAGTCTAAGATTGGGCTTAGGTGCCCCTCGCCACATCCCTTTTACAATGGACATTGGGCAACCACCTGGAACGAGGCAACTAGGAAATAATGTCATGATTGACTCATCACTGGGCACAAAACAATATCTACACAATATGTAAGCGTTGAAAGCCTTAACTTCACCCGGTTAGTGCGAACGTTTTTTGGTCAGACTCTGTTTTGCGCGTGGAATGAAGATCCACAACACTTGTTATACCTTATCATGCATCAATTTTCATCGTTAATTTTGTTGACTCCATACCACCTGAGGTCATGCCAGGAGGTCAGTCAAGCTAAGGAACCATATCCCTAAAAAATGTGATCCTGTCATTCCTATCGTTTGTTTTCTAAAATTTTACAGCTCAATATTGTATCAAGGCATCAATACCAGCAAATTGTATGTCTCGAATTTTGCATATCTATCATCTATGACCTGGAGTCAGGTCAGATTTGTGACATCACCATTGCAAGGCAATAGAGAAAGACTTGAATGCCTCCTGCTTTGAATAAACACGTGTTATTTACAAAAGCTGAATATTATACTCATCTGCAACGCACAGGGTGCAGCTGATGGATGGCAAGCGGTCATTCAAAAGGTCATGCTAGGTCATAAAAAGTCATCAGCAGTTTTCCGACGATAACTTTTGATGGGGACATAGTAGAACGATGAAATCACTTGGAATGTATTCAGGTCATCAATACGGATCAATTGATATGCGACAGGACCCTTTCCGGTCAGGGTATGACCTTGACCTGAGGTTAACTTTTCAAGTACCTACATATAGGTAGGGGAGAGTGGGGCAAAGCGGCCACCCATCGTTTTAGCCCTTCATAGCTGGCGTCAGTTCCAATTTATGGTTTCCAATTATGATTATCCTTCTCTTCACGGTCGTTCGAATGAGCCAGACCGGGGTTTCAGGCCCATCACCATTATTCTGTGAAACACGGAAAAGCATTTCTTGCCAGGTTACCAACTATGTTTACAATTTTTAAATGTTATGTTATTCCATAACCGTTTGGAATTTTTATAAGCGTTCTTGTCCATGCATTGCATGGTTATCGTACTTGTATTCTACCAATTTTAATGTTTTTTACCCCACTAATAGCTAAGCTGGAATATTTTTGTCTCGGACGGTATGCGCGGGGCAAAGTGGCCGGGGCAAAGTGGCCACCCCCCAATTGGCCATAAGTTGTTTCCATCTGGATAAAAAACACTATTTATATTCAAATGTGTCGTCATGTATTCATCTTGGCCGCTTTTCAGTTGCATGAGTTACCAAATAATGTAATTAAATATTTTTTCATTAAAATCCTTTCTTTGTTTACCTACAGGAGGAAGATGATAAAGTAAACATCCATCCTCGCTTAATTGTCACCATCAAATACCCTAGTCGTACACGAGGCAACTATTTTGTTTCTCATATCGGTACTTGAGAAGACGCCGGTGGCCGCTTTGCCCCAGGGTATGGGGCAAAGTGGCCAATATGCATAGGTTTAAAGTTTTGTCAATATCTTTAATATGTGAACGCCTTTGGAAATAAAACGCAGTTGAAATAAAAGGCAACTTAATAGAGATCACATTGGTATAGAAAGAATCTTTCCAAGTTTAAAAATCAAGCGTTGGCATCGTGAGAAGCGTTAGGGTGGCCGCTTTGCCCCACTCTCCCCTACCTAATTCATTCGGCGCGTTTCACTATCGACGAAAAAAAACAGGATGGTGGCAAATTAAAAATCATTTACAGTGTTTGACGCTAAAGTTATTGTAAAAATAGTTTAAAAAATTGTTTCGGCAAAATCTGTCTATTTTCGTGTTTTTTTTTTGTGTGGGCCAAACCATTGAGCTGAGGTTAACTCTGTGGTTTTTTTAGCGAAAGGACTTTGCGCTTTTCCACGCCTTTCTAGCACTTTTTGTTTCCGAGCTATACACCGATCTGTGAACATTTTGTTTCAAAACCTGAATTCTTTTCGTGATAATTTTATCTTTGGTGACCTCTAGTGACCGCAACGATGATTTGATCAAATAATAATCCGTATAATTTTCATACGTCATATAGCGAGCTATTGCTTTTTTCTGCGTCTTTCTAGCCTTTAAAGTTTTCGAGATAATCGTGTGCCATGGTGAAGCTGGGCCTGGCTGAGACCCCCACCAGAGCGTGGGCTAGGAAGTTTGAAGCGTGGTTTAAAGGGACTATCCCACTTTAACATGGGGTTTGAGTTGAGATAGCCAAGTTTGCGGCGAGGTTCAGAAACCACTATCTATCTAGGTTGCAACCCCCGCGGCCTCTTGGTGTTGAAGAAATTCGTTCCCTTCATTTGAAAATGGGCCTTGCGCAAGGCCCTATCTTCAACATGGAGCGACCGTTAGTGTGACGTCACCTCGTTTAGTCATTCTGATTTAAATCACCTCGTTTAGTCATTCTGATTTAAATGGGTTTGTTCGTTGAAAAATCGCTTAAAACTTGGTCTGAACTTTGTTGTGGTGCCTACAGAGTAAAAAGAATCAGCTTTATGACAGTAATGTGGCCTGGGGAAGGAGGTAATTTTGGGCTGTGACGTCACATATTTGAAAGTTTGTGTTTGGAATATGGGAAGCCTAAGATGTTTAATGAAAAATAAATGCCAGAACCGTGTTCCTGGTCATCCAATCTATAAAGTCGGGCACAATTTAACTGGTTTTAACAACATTTTAGAAGGTGGGATAGTCCCTTTAATAAAGAAATTGAGAGGCACATTAATTAGTTATGCTTGTTGGTTTTTGACCGGTATTATGGTTGATGCCGACCATACACTAACTGAAATAGAGGTTATATGTTATAATGTGACTGATGTTCCATGATTTTAGCATTATATCTGAGCCACCAGCGTTGCCACTTCCCTTCTCCCGCCGCCGGCCATCGCACCCCGCTGACATCGTCCCTCTACGTGTCCGGAAAAAAGAAGACATCCAATCGACCGATCGACCGACCGACCGACCGACCGACCGGCCGAATGACCGACCGACCGACCGACCGACCGACCGGCCGGCCGACTTACCGACCGACCGCTGCATACACTCGCACTGGCCGGAGCGGGGAGAGCTGCATCATGACGACTGGTACGATAAATGCTGCACATAAAAGGAACTAAATGTGAAGTAAAAGGGTTTTCGTCGTTGTATTTTATATGACAAGACAACAGCGTGACAATGGACACAAGAATCACTTACAAAGACGCACAATCATATATATCACCAGTGTCGAAGAACGCACAGCAGCCAGACACACTGCCTAGTTAACTCCGATCGCTTGGTTATTTTGGCAGGCATTCAATAAAATAGTTACTAGGCGACACTCACTTCCACTTCCTCCACCCCTCCGATATGTTCGCGGGTGTGGCTGAAGTCGGGCAGGTGGTCACCCTCCGGGTGGAAGCCGTTCTCGTCGGCAGTCCAGTTCACAGTGTAGGTGACGCCCTCCCATTCGTACGAGTACGAGCCGCTCCTCACGTAGTTACCCGACTCGGGGACGTTGCCGGGGTAGGAGATGCCGTCTTCCTGGGCCTTGATACCATTTGTTGTCTCGAATCTGCGAAACATGTGATGATGTTAGGTCACGCCATTTTGATATTCGCGACGCAAGACAGCTATTGCTTGATCATCTCATTCAAATTAGTTACACTTAATTCAACCCTTCTTAACCAAATGCACCGATGGTTTTGCTCGCAGAATTAGAAGTTTTTTTTTCTTGCATGCATTGTATATTCGAACCTTCTTTTATTCGTAACATAAATGATAGATTGGTTACGGTTGCTTACGTGGCAGCGAATGAGCCGTCTTCTTCGATGCCGTACTGGTAGTTGACGATTTTCGCCTCCTGGTTGGACTGGGCCAGTGCGACGGCCACGAGGCAAAGCGCCACAATCTGTCAACGGTGCGCCGCTGATCAGCAAAGCAGCACTGGGAATGGTAGCTCATGGGTGCGCCACTAATCAACAGAGTCGCGCTGTGCTGGCATTGGGTGTTTTCGCAATATTTGCCTTATTTTTCAACCAATGATGACATAAATGGGCATTGCGTCTAAGTTAAAGTTAAATTCACCAAACGTTTTTTTTTTTACCAATACCATTAGCTATTCAGCAGATCTCAGTGTCAACTGTGTAAAAACTATCTCTGTAAAGTAATGCAGTAAGCCGGCAGAGAGGCGTCTAAATGTCGCATCATTCGCTCCGTCTACTGTTTGTTTTGCCGCCGATGGGCGCTGGTGCTGCGGCCGGTCCTCCGTGTTTGGCGCGGCTCTACTCACCGTCTTCATTGTTGTACCGGATGTGCTGAACTGGTGCCGTGTGACCCCTGTGCACCATCTTAAATACCCCTCCGCCGGCTGCCGTCCGCCCCGCAGCATCCGCAGACATAATGCAAATATGTCCGGATTCCGACCTTGACTGCAGTGGCACGCACACCGACATCAAAACAAAAACCGTGTCTGCATGCGATTCCCAAGTACCTACGGATATTGATTGGTGGAACACATTCACCCAAATGCAGTGTGACGGCTTACCACTCAGGCCTTATTTAGACATTAGTCTACAGATCTGATCATAAGCGTTTTAACTGATGATGCTTGCTGTGTGAAAGAGAAACTCGAAATTTTTCACTTGGCCCCATTGAGGAAAAAGAGGGAAGCTTTAAGGGAGCAAAAACTCATTTCGTGGGGATAGACTGAACTGCCAATGCATTTTAGGTAGATAGGTACACGGTACGCAACACGTGTTTGCTTGTCGTGCAACATTTCAGCGTAGCCTTGAAATAGACTGAACTTGACATCTGTCCTGACGACTTTTCGTGCCATGAATCAACTACCTACATAGTACATAGTACATATTTTGGCGCTATCATTTTCGGAGGTGTATGCTTATATGTAGTGATGGATGACCACCGAGAAGTGACATAATTCACTTGGATACTACACTGGTTAGTACATCAATATGTGACATTGCGACAATCGATCTTTTTTGTAGGGTTTTTGGTTACCCACCGTCCGCAAATCCGGTGTTTATTGCTTCTAAGCCAATTACAAGACTTATACCCCCGAAAGCACGTTATTTGTGGGTATTGACGTAGGCTGTGGTCTTGCCACCCACCCCACATACCTATATAAAGGGAAACGGGAGACGATTTCAGCATCAGTCGATCACCACCTCTCCTGACATGAGAATCGTGAGTAAAACATGGCCGAGAGAGAACGCTGTTGAAATGTTAAACCTTTTAATTGCTTGGGTTAACTCGTATAATTGATACTTTTGAGTGGATGAGACCTGGCAGCGTCACATTGACCGAAAACATAATCTCGTTCTGGTTGTGCTGCGCCTAGTTGAATTTATTTAAAGGTAGTGTGCCACCTTTGAAAGATTTCCCATTTTATTTTTCCTAGGATAAGAAGCTTCTGTTTTTACCGAATATCGCAAAGAAAATCAAAAATGGGCCTGGAATAGTGCCTTTTTCGCCTAAAAGTTTATCGGTTTTTCGATATGTATAACAACTGTAGTGGGCTGACCTGCAAACAGGCGTCGGCAACAATCGCGAATGCGGCGCACATGTGACAATAAGCAAAGGTCATTATAGAGTTACGACGTACGGGAATGAGTTATCAGCTGTCTAATCGTAGACAACACAATGTCGAGCCTTAAACTGTAAGCCTGTATTGGTATTGTTTCTTTTATTTGGCTGTCGAACATTATTTATGGTTTGAAATATGATTTTATGTAAAATAATTGATATGAAAAAGCCGTCTCTTAAGTTATGACCCCATTTCACCACACGCAAGTGGCAGAAATGACAATGATCAGCTGACGCATTTTTCTTGGCCGAAGTCAGAGCGCGCGGCCCGACGCACCACCACCGCACCACAAAGTATGAGCAGAAGCCGCGCCCAAAGCCAGGGCCCCGGTAACGTGAGGTAGCCGAGTCGGGGCAGCGTGCGCTGACCCAAGCCGGGGCCGCAGCTTTGGTCGCGGTCTACCGCATCCCCGCGGGCAGCCCCGGGCTATCACATGACACCGGGAGGACGCGCGGCCCAGGCTTGGGTCAGCGCACGCTGCCCCGACTCGGCTACCTCACGTTACCGGGGCCCTGGCTTTGGGCGCGGTCTACCGCACCACCTAACAGGCGTGTTCGAAACCGCAGGAGATGATGATGAACGGGTTTATCGAAACTTGATTGGATGAGCCTATCGGTAATAGCGATTTCAGTGTGTGCATTTATTGTTCATAGTGGTGTGAAATGTGGTTGGGGTACGACCGACAACCCGTCGGGGCGAATTTCGCACTGGGGTACTCAAAATTTGAAGAATTTAAGACGTTTCCATGAGTTTTGAAGGTATGGATAAGTTCTAAAAATCCGGTTCTCCTTATGGGCCATTAACTCCATACGGTCCAGGAAAGCTGGCACACTACCTTTAACATGCTAGCGATTTTTCCACAGACTCAACAAAATGCAAATGATGCTGTCAGGCATTTGATATCTATCTACAGAGTACATGTGCTGCTATTAATGAGATCAAGGAACATGATACAATATGAATGTACCTATATAAGACCCTGAGCGTTTAAATCATAATCAAATGCTGCTTTTCTAGCTGGTTCTCTTGTTCCTAGCGGCTTCGGCCGTGGCGGACAAAAGCGCCCGGATCGTCAACTACCAGTACGGCATTGAGGAGGACGGCCTACGAGGCCAAGTGAGTCTTATTTCGACTCACGAAACCCCAATAGTCTAGCTTTTCATATGTCTGTCTATGGTACCTTAATAGAACATTCAAATAAGCTGTGGAGAAATGAAAAAAAAATGATTATGAGTATCCGAACCGTCCAGTATT